CAGGACGTGGCTCTGAGTTACCAAGCAATTAAAGCATATTCGAAATAAATTGAAGCCCGACACGGAGGTGCACAGCCATAATCCCAGCTCTCTGGGAGGCTGAGGTGAGAGGTTCACACAGTTGAGCCCAGTCTGAGTACCTTAGACTTTTATCCAGAATCTGTCTTAAAACAAGAGAAAAAGAGGCGGTGTGCATTTTGGTAGAGGAGAAGCAGCGCTGGGTCTGGGTTACCCTGGGGAAAGGAGGTCTCTGGACTTCTCCAAGATTTAAACTGTGTCCGGAAGGTCTCTCATGGGAGCAGGACGTTCAGGTGCGCTGGAACAAGCTACCTGCTACTGGGCTAACCGAAAGAAACAAACAGGAGACCAGGACCTTGGAGGTGAACTTCAGGTGATTCTTATTAGAACAGGAGAGAAGAGTTAGCTTTGGGATTAAAGAGAGAAAAGAAAAGGCTCTGAGCTTTCCACATCTCCAATTAGTCTCTGGTATAGTAGCAGTTTTAGAAAAACCTAGAGCTTTGCCTGAATGCGAGAGGATTTCCTCCTACTGTTTCAAATATTATTCAGGGAAGATGTACATATTCATTATCTTTGAAGATCTTGAATAGTCGCTCTAGCACCTCGTTTTCATCCTTAATGAATAGGCACTGACCGAGTGAATCAACCATACTCCCAAATGAGGAATATATCATACATTAATTAAAATAGGAGTCAATAATGTATAAGATTTAGCCTATATTTTCTTTATTACTGCCATTTGGCAAATTGAGGGTGAGAGCTCTAGCAATTCAAATTTCCCTCTGAGGAAGTTTAGTAACTATCAAGATAAATCTTGGAAGCCTCTCTTGGGGTCCCAAGGCTCATTAAGCACTTGAAGAGTCCACTGGACGTTTTTGCAGTGGCTGGTCAGCTAAACCGGTCCAGGTGAGTCCGGTCCTAACTACTGCATTCAGAAAGTTCTGGGCTGAACTGGAACATTAGTGTCAGGGGTGTGAAGTGGGCAGAAGGCAGCTTGGCTCTCTGGATTTGCCTCAGGCTCTACATTTCTATTTCAGAGGAGGAAGGAAGGTTTTACTGCTTTCTCTTGTGCTACATAAGAGGTAAAAGTCAAGAGGGAGGGAAGGCTGAGGCCAGAGAACAAGCCAAGGATGTGCAATGAAAAGACAGGAGGGCCTGCCAGGGATCTTGCCAACCACTGACCCCACCGATGGTTGAGAGCACCTGACTTTGGGGACACGTGGAAAGCGAACCCCTGAAGGAAGGCACTCACTGACAGTGACAAAAGCTTTTGGATCACAGGATGCTGGTTGATCCATCCAAGCCAGAGTATGTGATAGAGATAGGATACAACTTCTTAAATTCAAGTCCCTTAAATTTCTGCATTCTGCCCTGAGCAACATATTCAACTGTTCCATCGAAGGTGCCACCTCTCAGCCACGAGCTTTGATTCTCTCCGTGTTGTGTCATCAAATCCCCCATGGCAGCTGCTTTCAGAGCACACAGGCGTGGCTGCACAGGCAAAGTCACCTTCGTGGACTGGGCTCTAAATTCTGCTTAAAAAGACTTAGCTATTCCCCTTTTTATTTTCATAACTTCTTGAGATTATTTCCACTTTCACCAGAAGCAAACTCCTACTCAGTAGAGTATTAATCCAGCAGCTCTCAATTCTAGAACACCTGGGTACATACATAGAATAGGCTTTGTCTCTTTACAATCTCACAAACCTGTTTAAACTACAGTGCTGTCTGGGTTCCACGTGGAAGACTTCAGCAAGGCTGGCCAGTCCACTTGGCTACATGTGAGGCTGCTTTTCAGTACATTCGCTTGCAGTTTATGAAGTGCTTTCACATAACTGGAAAGTCCACCAAATTACGAATTCACTGTTATCGCTGCCTCCACATCACACATTGTAGCACTGACATTTAAAGAAGTTATGTGACCAGATTACACCGTTCATGAGTGGCTTAGCTAATTTTCAAACATGTCTCCTTGTAGTCTACATCTCATAGTGTCCAAGTACTTAGTGGGAGGAAAGGGGGAAGCTCTCAGGTATAAATGCCCCCAAATTTCTTTATATCCACCTTTGAATTTATCTTCAAAGAAACCCCTCTTTCCTGTGTCTCAAGGAGAAGCTCGTTCTATTCCATGTTCCTCAAAGTTCTCTCCTTTATCCACAAGGAGTCTTTCTCACCCCCAAGTCTTCCCATTTCTAACTCTACAGAGAATACTCTCAAATCTTAATCTTTGAAATCCAGTTATTGCTATGAGCCATTTAAGAACATCTTTTTTTTTTTTTTATCTTTCACTATTGGGGATTGAACCTAGGGCTTCATAATACTAGGTAAAGACAAAACCAAAACCAAAACCCAAAACAAAACAATAAAAACCTCATCTATCACTAAGCTATGCACCCATTTAAAAATTTTGAGCGGACTCTTTCTAAGTTGCCCATTTGCAGTTTCCCGGCCTCATCCTCCCGAGGTGCTGAGGCTACAGGCGCTGTACTCGACCAGATATCATCTTTGCTTGATTATGTACTTTTATAGACACTCTTCTACCCCACTGCAAGCACTCAGCTTTCTACAACTCACTCCCCTGTCTGCTGTTTCTTTGGCATTCTTCATATACTTCTGTGTCTCTGTGCTTCTGCTTGTACTGCTGGGGAGGTTGTTCTTCTTCTCTGTTTGTTGAAATTCCATTCACTTTTTGTTCATCTCAGGCATTATCCCTATGGTCGTGGTTCAGACATAAGATGTTCTCTCAGGTGCCGTGTGTTTGGAAAGGGATCAGGTTGTGGGTCACAGTACTCAGCAGGGAGTCGTCCCTTGCTGGCTCCATAGCTGCATGTGCTGTTAGAAGGTGGCCCCGTTGGAGGTGGGCTGCTGGGGTTGTGACCTGAAGAACATGTTCTTGTCTCTGGCTCCTGCTTTCTCTGCCTGTGCTCTGGCTGCCATGGGGTGGACATCCATCCTCCACCCATGCTCTTCCACCCTGCTATTTCTGCTTTGAGTCCACCCACCATAAAACCAGTCCTCTGAAACCATGAGCCAAAGAAAACCTCTATTGATTTTTATTTATTTATTTGTTTGTTTATTTGGTACAGGGTCTTGCTGTGCAGATCGGACTCATAGAGATCCTCCTGTCGCAGCCTTCCCAGTGCTGGGATTACAGGTGTGCCCCATCAGGCCTGGTTTTGGGGTCGATACGATGGGCATGAGGTTCTGGGACCGGCACATAATGTGTGTACCGGGGATTAAATTCAGGTCCTTATGCTTGTCAGGCAGGCACTTAGACAACCAAGCTATCTCCCCAGCCCCACCTTCTCTCCCTTAAATTGTGAAAGTTGGTGGTTATTTTGTCTCAGTGACAGGAAAGCTGAACAATATACCCACTATGAACACTTCCCCTCCTCTTCTGGTGAGATGACAGCATGGCGTCTGATTTTCCAAAGCACTTTGCTTAGTGCAATTTATACATCAATTATCACATGAGAAAATTTGTCTCCATCTCTGTCTTATCATGTAAGTTGCCAATAGAATAAACACAAGAGAAAATCGTATTTACTGCTATATCCCTTGATAGAGTAAGTGTGGCTTAGTATTTGTTTAGAGGTGCAAAAGAATGAAGAAATGAAAAGTGATTCAGGTACTACTTCAGTTTTCAACCCACCTAAAGAGGACATGCCCACATTTTTCCCCCTCACATTAAGTATTTGTTATCTTGGGAATTTGTTGTACTTGCTTTGTGACGGTGCTGAGTTTTCTAAAAAGTCTGCCATGTGAAATCATGAAGAATGAGAGGGAAAGTAAAGTAAATATATTACTATCATCCCAGGCATGAATGCTGCAGGAAAATTAAAATTTATATTTGCTAATTTTAAACTAAGATAATAGAAATTGATCTTCTATTAGTAAATACACACATTCATATATTACAGCACAGTGAACTTCATTAGATTGAAATAATGAGTTTGGGAAGGTGGGGAGGGAAAGCCTGCCTAAATAATGAAAGTCAGAATTTATGGAAAGCCATGCAGCTTTATTACTTTCAATACTATAATCTACAAATAAAGCCTGTCTAAGGAGACAGCTACTTAATGATACGGACTCTCATGTTATAGCTGAAGTTTTTGGGGATGTTCTCAAGACCAACCACATTCTAGATCCATGAAAACAATGACTTTTGTTACATGGGTTGCAAGTATCTTCCCTATTTGATTAGTAGATCCATTTCTTTTTTTTTTTTTTTTTTTTAATTTTATTTATTTATTTTGTGTGGCCAGCTCAGCCCACCAGAGGGCGGGGCTGGCTGGCATGTGGTGCTGGGGGATTGAACCGCGGTCCCTGTGCTTTAGCTAAGCTTGTTCTAAGTAGGTGCTTTAGACCACTGAGCCATCTCACCAGCCCTAAGTAGATCCATTTCTTATAGAACACTCTAAGGTGAATTTTAGGTTAGTCTAGATAGAGTTGTCACAGATTTTATTAGCACTATCTGCATTAATACATTTTACTATACTCATAGAAGGCATTTTCCAAAACTTAAGAGAGTAGTCAAATGTCCCAGTGAAGTGACAAATACTTTCAAAACAAAAATAGAAGAAATGTTAACTTTTTGAAATAAGAAAAACATTCGGGCTGGGGAGATGGCTCAGTAGAATAAGCACTTCCCTGGCAAGTGCAAGGCCTGAGTTCAATCCCCGGTTCTGCCAAAACAAAACAAAACATTTAGGGTTCCTGATGAAATAAGAAAAACATTGTTTAGTCATCCAGTCACATTTAATAGAACTCTATCTTCAGCGCCTTTGGCTTCCTCGGTAAAATTTTGAGAGGGCACGGAGTGTGGTCTGCTCATTTCTCTCCCTGTCCACAGAGACCTTCCTCCCTCTAGCAGGGCAGGTGGGCTGTGCTTTCCCATGACCACCGTCATCAGTGCAACCCATGCTTAGGAGCAACACCGAGCTTTTCCCCGGGGGATGCAAATGTTATGAGCAGGTTACTCACTGGTTCTGAGTGCAGGCTGCAAGTAACTGACTGGCCCCCATCCTGGAAAAGAAGAGGAAAGGAACACACCGGTTACCACACACACCAAGCTACCCGCGCAGCTTTCTACACAAAGTGCCTAAAGTGTCCGTAACGAGGCAGATCAGGGCGATGGGGAAAGTCACGAAGTGCCTCTCTTCTGTTTCAGGGCAAAATGGAGGAGTCACAAGTCTGTTTTCACCTTCAAACTTTGTCAGCGAAAAGGCAGTTCATGCCTGTGTTCTCTACGGCAAGGAGAGGAAGGCGCGGAAGGTAGACGGGGTGGGGATGGAAATTGACAATCAGAGAGAAGGTGAATTTTCCTGCTACTTAGTGTTCTACTCTGAAAGACATTAGCATGCTAGCCTACAATTATATTTTGCACCAAAATACTTGTATAAAATTGAGTACATTTCCTGGGGCTGCTGATCAGTGTCGCCTCTGGGATGCCTTAGTCGGGAAGCCTTGGAAGAGTACGTGAACTGAGCCCAGAATGAAAGAGAAGGGCTTTCAATGAAGCAATCTGTGGATATTTAAATTATTGAGCACTAATGGTAGTTTACTCTGTAGTAAAGAACAGTGAGTGAGGTTCTTTTTTTTTTTTTTTAAATTCTGATGACCAAGGAGGTCCTCATTCTGCCCGATGAAGATGGCCAGATGTAACGTAGCATATTTTTTCTTGTTCAGCCATGTATAGGGAGAGGACAGCCCCACACATGCAGTGAAGGATTGTTGAGAAATGTAAGCAGATAATTAGATGGCTAATATTGTGCTTCTTGAGTTTCAGAATTCCAATTCATTCATTAAATAGCACATAAATACATATCATAGAATATAATGTCATGTGTTATGCCATATATTTTGTATAATATTTTAATTGATATTTAATTGATGTAATACACAATTTATCATGTTATACTATTTACTTATATATTATATATTTGATCCATAGACAATGCTTTCTCCCCACATGTTTTTATTTTTATTTTTATTTTATTTACTTATTTATTTTTGCATTTTAGGGAAGAGTGTACAGGGTGTTCAGGGTCTCACTACTAGATTGGATTCATAGTGATCCATCTGTTTACAGTTTCCCAAGAGCTGGGATTATAGGCATGCACCACCATGCCCAGTCTCATTTGCCTTCTCAGCATGCCCCTGGTGTGGGGCTGGCACAGTAGGCCTGGGGATCAAACCCCCAGCCCCTGCACCTGCTTGCAGGCACTTTAATCTGCTGAGCTATTTGGCTGGCTCTGCCCACATGCTTTTTAACAAAACAATCTTTTCAAAATATATTTATTACTTAGACTAGTACTCAGAATTATACAACTCAGGCAATGGTGGGAGGATTAATTCTCTCTCTTTCTACCTTGGTCCATTTCAATAACCTACTATCAGTGTGACTAATTAAGAAGACTGCTTTTCTAATCCTAATTGAGAGCAAAACCTCCTTGACTTCTGTTTTCTTAGTCAATCAGCCTTTCACTAAATTTCATTTGGGCTCAAATACATCAGATTCTATTTACATCAATGAAATGCTGTTCTATTTGGAGAATGATTTTTTTAAAAAATGCCATGGGCATTTTGCACTGCTGTGAGCTACCTCATATAAGGTATCAGCAGCTCTACTTGATTTGGTAATTTCTGCATTTTGGATGAAGGCATTTATAAGTCATTTATAAAGCTCATCAATAAGTTATAGTTCCTTCAGTACAATTGATCCCCATGGTTGGAACTTGATATGTAATCTACTGCTTCAACCCACTTTAATGTAATTGCAGCTCTACATTTACCTGTTCACCCATGTAACAGCAGCATGATTAAGGTCACACTGTCATGACTTAGTGATAAGGATATTGTTCAGGCTAGAACCTCAAATCTTCCTCCATGCAAAATTGATTTTATCCAGCATATTATCAATATTTATGTAGTCTACCCCTCAAACGTGGAAGGAAATTAAGTTAGTGTAGAAAAATAGCTACTTAGAAGGTGAAATGCAGCTGTTTCTTTATCTCTTATGATTTTCTGGTAGGTTGTTTATTGACCATATGATGCATTGCCCTTATGAGGTATCGCTTTTAAGCTGACTTATAATGATCAAGTCATTTCCTTTAAAAGTATGAACATGACAGGTTCTTTCCTCTGCCCCCACGATGGCTTAAGTATAAAGAGCGTGCAAGGGCAGCTGCCAAGTTCTTAAGTGTGTCTGGAAACCTGACATCGGGGCACAGCAAAGAGAGTGCACTCCAGTACTGGACACCCCTCCCTGGTCTCTCCACCTCTCAGGCTGAAGAATATTAATCAGAGGCACATCTCCTACGTTGTACAGTTAACTTGTTGAGCACTGGTCCGATCCAGTTTCATTCTCTTTCATACCTCCTCTGAATCCAGTTTAGTGTCATACATAAATACATAATGCATCAAATTATTTTTGAGAGAACTATTTCTTTGAGTATCTATAAAAAGTTTTCTAGGACAAGTGTTCTCATACACTTCCCACTAATGATGCGATGACAGCCTATATAGTTCCTCAAGGGCTTTGTTTATACTCTACCTCCTAAATCATTGTTATTCCTATTTACATTTTTATGTAATGACTGTGTAGGAAGTCAGTAGTCATTAGGCTCAGTCCCCACAATCAGTATAAACTGGCTTACTTGATACATGATCTTATATTAAGTAACTGCGAAGGTTCACTGACAGTCAACAACAAACATGACTACTTTAAATATATCAGCACTGGAAATTTCTTGTACAATTCAGCACTCGAGCTTTGCTTTACATAACAGAAATTAATTGTTTCAGTAGAGCAGTTAAAATTAGTAAGAATTTTGAACCGCTCCTCCAGTATATATATTCTTATATTGTGTTTACAACACTGAATACGTAATGAAGACTCATGTAGTGGCACAATCTATTGCAGTGGGATCTTTCCCCTCATCGCATTACTTTAATCTGAGTCATTTCTGTTTTCTGCGGTGAAGCACGTTTCACCTGTTGAAACTTGATGTAAACACCATAATAAGTGAAGAGGTCTAGAGCTTTGATGGAAAAATCAATTTTTTAAAAAAATTAGCATGTCAATGACCCTTATCCTGAGGGCTGGGAGCTTCATGCAGCCTGAGTAATACACGGAGCCAAGGGACGGGTCACGTTCCAGCGCGAGGACACATGGAGGAACTCAAAGTAATTTTTCTAGCTGCGTAATACATTAATGGCTCTGCTTAGCATCATCATCCTTCCCTACCAGCCAGCACGGAGAGAGGAAAAGGTTAGACAGCTTGCTAAGGCCATGGGGTGATTTGTTCAAATTGAAATAGAATTACATTTGGATTGCTGAAGCCTTGTTCTCAGTAATGAATCAGGGTTTTTGTTCTTCCCAGCTAAATCTTGTAGAAATATGATTAACGATACCCTCTTACTTTACACACAGATATTCGGATGCAAAAAAAATCAAAACATTTCAGTGCAGTTTAGGTCCTTTGTGGCCTAATATTTGGTTGCTGCGTTAAAAAATGTATCCCCAAATTTTATTTTGAAATATTGATTTGATCTCACCTTACCTTCTTTTCTGCCTCTTTTAAAAATTGCCTGCATACACACTTATCAAATCAATAACAATCACAATAACAGCTAACATGCACAAAATGCTTATTAACCACCAGCCATGGGATGGAGTGCTTTATGCCAATCTTATTTAATTTAATCTTATAAAACACTCATAGGAATACTACCTGGATCTCTACATATGGAATATAACTGCATGCTTCCAAATGCCTGCTTTCTTACATAAACCAGAGCCATAATTATCTTCTGTGCTTCCCGATTTCAGTTTTATTAATGTAGATTGAGATCATAAAGGTGCAAAGCCAAATATTTTTAGATTTAATATATTTTTGTAATTATTTTACCAATGTCTTTTCCCCTAATCTTTTGCCGTTATCTTGCTAACTTAATTCTACAGCTTTTAGCAATTTAACTTTATTGAGACTTTTCAAGACATTTTCATAGAAATAGCAGTTCTCTTTTAGATACCCATATGGTATAGAGTTGCATATTTTATAATTGACTGAATAATTATCTCAACAAGTTCAAGTGGCACAGCAGGTCTGGGAACAAATACAGCTGGCTTTTGGTCCATCTCAACTCCAGCGGTGAGGCCAGCCGTTCACAGGTAGGAGGAGCTCACCTGGCGGTGAGCACTGTGGGTAGAATCCTTTGAAGGAAGTGAAGGAGAAGCTTAATCAGGCAAGTCACTGAAGAAGGTACAGCACAGAGAGATTTGGTGTTTGATACTTTGTGTATGCATCACTTTGAAGGAATAAAAATTAAAATGAAAGGCAAAGGAAGAAAAGAGTGAGTTTATGTATTTTCTCAAGATTAGGAATTGAACTAGAACTAGAACAAGGAGTGAACTCCAGCCCACTACTCTTTCTTTCCCCGGCACTATGTTCAGGACAGAGGGAACAGCTGGAGGTCGAGGTGCTGCTGTAGCCCGGAAGCCAGACTTGAGGCAGCTGCAGAATTGCAGACAAGAAAGTGGAGCATAGAAGCCAGAAGCCAGAGACTTGCAAAGGAGGAGCCATGCAGCTTAGCTGACTTGAGTTAACCCATGTATTTCTTGACTTCATTCATTGATTTCAAACATATGGGTTCCAGCAAGTGCATTTTGCCTACTGGCACTGCCAAGAGAACTGACTTTTATGGTTCCAAAAGAACTGGAGAAATCCTGCAAGGGCAATGACGGTCTTCGACAATCAATAAGCAACAAAGAAAGGGTGGGATCAAGCTTAAGGAAATTTATGAGGACAAATGGCAACTCAAAGGCAACGATATGCCCCTCACTGCCCATTTCCTCCTCATCCTTGGTCTGTACAGTTTCTATTCTGCCAAGTCCTTCCTGCATAAAAATATTTAAGCCTGAAGTTGAAAAATGTTCTAGAAGGCATGGTTTTCTAGTAGCTGTTTTATAAATGTGTACCAATATCTCATGAGTATCTGTTTCACAAATATACTAATAAAAA